CCCAGACCGTGTCACGATGTCACGAATTCATTTCGAGTGTCGCCTAATAAAATTTCGTCCTGCCCCTCGCATGTCTTACATGCTTGATTTATTCCTCGGAGTTTAAATAAAACATGAGCAGTGACGTGTCCTTTAATAAACTCGAATCTATTTAACAGAGCGAGAAATTCACCGGCATCGGCTCCCCGGGATCGTTTCGCCATGTTAACCCGGAACGCTATGCGAAAGCCACCGCGAGCCTCCGGGGCAGAAGCACTTTTTGCCGTTTAGTACGGGAAAATTCGCCTTTATTTAAATACAGGGTGTCCCAAAAAGAAGTAGTTTCATCTAGATCCAGTTCATGTTTACCTGGGGATATAGTACGTTCCTTAATCCTAGAAATTAAAAGATATATGGCGAATGTTGAGTTTATTTTTACAGCGTGCAGCGCTAGTGCCGTTTTCGTCGCTTAATATAAATTATAAAAGTTGGTAAAATGCGGTGGAAGCGATAAAACTGAGTACGAGCAAATGTATAAATAAATATGTAGCCATTTTGTATAGGAATGCAACGACATAAATTATTGCAGTTTCGAGGCTCGCAGTGAAATATGGAGCACTATAAAGCGCGGCTTTATGGGATTTCAGCAACTTAGAGCTTTACAATCGTACGTAAGCCATGAGAATATGCTCCGAAACTGATATTTCATAGATAGTTACGGGACGAAGAATAAGTATTCTCCGAGCGAGAACGGGACGGAAATAATAATTTCTCGAAACTAAACAATAAATAAATAAAAATAAAAAAAAAACGACGAGGACGAACGACCGCTCGATATGTATCTATTTTATGTGTTCCATTCTTTCGAGTGTTCCGCATCGAGGGCTCTTTAAAAATGAGTTGTCGTTTCGAATCCGACCTCTCGACGTCCGATACATGTACTTGTTTCTATTGCCGTGGAATAATGGGTGTATCGCAATTCCTCGAAATTATCAACTCTCAGCGTCGCAGCGCTAAAATAGTTGTCGCCTTCGTTGGGATTCGAAGCCGGGGTAATTATTCCATGAATCACCGAGATTTAGCATCTAAGACGAGCGAGCAAGAAGAAGGGCCCGAGAGCTACATATCATAGCCGGTCGTGTGTTTGACAGCCAAGATGGCACGGCGGTTTAACGGCTGCTAAATGCAGGAGGTGCTGATTTATAGGCAGGACTCATTAATCGGACGTTATACGGAAGGATCATTTCTCTGCTCTTTCCCTCCTCGCTGACGGGCCACTGCATTTGCTAATCTCCTCGTTTAGCCGAACAAGTACGGACCGGCAGCTCGCAATTACAGTTTATGACTTGTTTAGAACCGACCCGAGCAGATATTATAACTTTGCTGATTATGTATTGTAAGCGAGCTTATCCTTCGAAACTAATAGACAACGGCGACTGCTAAATCATCCTAACGATTAGAAAAGCTCGTTCACCTAATAGAGATAAGAAGTCAATCCGCGAAAGAATTCCCTTTTAAAATATGAAGATTAAAACACATAATTGGACACTTTGAAGAGTTTCCTGTTAACCTACATTCAAATACCTCACGGCGCGATATTTTAACAATCGCATTAAAAAAGCAATTTTAAATTTAAATTAGAACGAAATTGGTTTATTTCCTGTTCGATTGGAAACCGAATTGCCGCGGCCCGTTGTCTATGCGATTACGCAGGAACGTCGGAGCCAGAAAAAATTCTATTGAATTAAACGATAGACCACCGAACCCCCCGGGATGGCAGTACATAAAATTAAAGTACTGTCGCGTTCGTTGGCGTTACACGAAACAGGTGGCCTGCAGTGTGGGGTGTTCTGATCCAAATGAGGACAACAATAGCACGACGAATTTATGGTACGGGTGCAGCGCGTTCAGTTTGTCTATTGGACTGTAAAATTAATATAGACCATCAGAAATACACAAAGAATGTATATTTAAAAAAAAAAAAGATACTGCTAACGGTTGAGTACACTTCGAAATAGTATTTTTTTTGGGTAACTAATTTTAGTAATGCACTATTTCTTCTGTATTTGGAACTTGCAGATGAAAATACAGTAAAATTCGTGTGCAGTAATAAATTTATATCGACTAATGATTAGGTACCAACCGGAACTTGTCAACAATCGGAGAGAAATTTAATAAAATTAATTGGCTCTGCATCAATTCTTCCAACGAACACAATCGTTTCGTTAAACAAGAAAATTACATAGGGCATCCAAACACCGCTGAAATAAATTGTAATTCGACCATATGGTTCAAAATATTAATTATACGAAATTTATACCGTGCATTAACCTCGGAACCGTTCATTAAAATCGTTATATATATAAAAAGTTTTTGTACGGAGCATCAACTTCGGCATGTAGTTATTAACCCAATTAACCGAAATAACATAGCGTCCACAGATTCATCCACGTTTTCCCGTACTATAAAATACCGGTAGTAATAAAAAGCCCTTCTGTCGCGGCCTCGAGGTACACAGCTTAGGGTGAAAGGGAGAAGCGAAAAAACTACAAGTGCGGGGCGTCAGAATGATCGGCTCGGACAAGAGGGTGTTTTAAGAGATTAGGGTTAGTCTGATTCCTGATGGAAAGTTATGTCGGGTCAAAGGAGCACTTGACCAAACAAACTTTTTGAGGGTTATTCAACGGATGCGTCGGCTCGAATAATACCGAAACCTTATTCCTATTGGTTACCAATTTAATTATTATTGGACCTTTTTCTTGATTAAAATGCGCATTGTAGCAGATATGCTGTACAGTAAATACAACGTTAGAAGGGTAAGGGATGAAGAATTCTTTTATCTACAAAAAATTTGTTATAAAAGGTATTGGAGATAAAATTTTATAGCCCCTTTTAACACACTGCAACTGACACAGTCGTATATTAGAACCCCCCTATATAAACTATTACCTAGACGAATAGTTTACTTACATATATAGGCAGATTAATAGCAAACAATATGGTCAAGGGTGGACCTAAATGACCACCTTTATGGAATTAGAAATTTTGTTAGGGGCAGTTAATGCATGTCCCACATACAGAACCGGATTAGCTCATCATATTTCGAATTTGTGTATAGAAAATTTTCACCCTTACACTCATTAAGAAAGGAAGTAAATAAGAACCAATCAGTAACAATAAAATAAAATTATTTTTCTTCGAACACTACATTATGAAATTTAAATATGTGTTAGGAATATTTAACGACCCGCTCCTGTGTATGGATTGCACGTGTAATGATATATTTTATGGAAAGAAATGCGCCCCCTTCGGTGATTTATCGGCTGTTGAGGGTGGGGTGTGTCCGTTTTAGGGGGTTTTTCGCAGTAAAATCAAATTACAGTGATTGTTCTATTATTTATGGTTTAGATATGGTGGCGACACTGACGACAAAGTAGGAAACATATGGTCCATCGAAACCATTACCGATAATATATTGGACATCCAAATGGTCAAAATGATGCTAATTAAATAGAATTGCATAAAATGCCATAATTTTGGGAACGAAAAAAAATTAGTAAAGCATGTTTTATTAAAAATGTGATGTGTATGAGTTGGTACTCGATGAAAAAAATATAAAAAAAAGAATGCGATCCTGCCAGGATTCGAACCTGGAATCTTCTGATCCGTAGTCAGACGCGTTATCCGTTGCGCCACAGGACCTTGTTGGAGCAACTCCATAATGCGCGACTTAAATCAATTGTGCATTATTAAAATAAACTCCGAATTTTTTGCACAAGCAGCGAAAAATAAAATAAAAATTTCTAATTGGAATTATAAAGCGCTCATCATAATAAAAGCTAAAGAAAAAAAGACGAAAAAGTTGGTCGCCCAACGTGGGGCTCGAACCCACGACCCTGAGATTAAGAGTCTCATGCTCTACCGACTGAGCTAGCCGGGCTTGAACATTTTCACTTAACCGGCGGTATTTACCCTAAATCTCCTCTAAAAATATTTTTAAATATACATATCTAAAAATACATATTTACAAAAATTGAGAAAACATAAAATAGCCGAAAAAGTTAACGACTAACATAAATTAAACATTAACCTTAATAATCTTTTAAAACAAACTTCTTCCCTCTACTTCCGAACAACACGCTTATACGAGGGGAAGCCCAAAAGTTATTCCTAAGCCACCTTAGATTTAATTGCGGAAACCGGTAATTCGATAGTGTGGATTTCAAAGATAAATCGAAAAAAAACACTTCTACGACCGCACGTCGGGGATGCTTCGACTGTGAAAAATTTTCGTGACAAGCCGCCGGAACGGCAGACTAAACACCGGGGTGGGCCGCAGATTGATACGCGTTTTACCGCAACATCTGCGACATCATTAGTAACAGTAACTTACATTTTTTTTTTACCATCGAGTATTAAGTACTCATTGGAGTGTGTCGAGCATCGATTTTACTCCATCTAACTAAACGAAGTATCTAATAAATTATTTGGTTAGCGTTTAGCGAAACTTATCTGGTATTTAACAAGAGAATATATCACAATAACGCATCGCCATTAAACTTACGGATAACTCGATTGATTAACAAGAGGACTTGATATCGAGTCTTAAGCTAAATACTTCATCGATTCGCGTCGTAGTCACCGCATAAATCTTCTCTCCAGTCTATCAGCTTATTATCTGGTATGTTAGTTTATGGCGGATATATATCATCGTTGCGGTATCTCTGTCATGGAATATCTGCTCCTGTACACACACATCTGCTATACGACGTCTTTTACACCATGATTTCTTTAATCATAACTCCCTAAACAACACTTTTTGGAAGCTCTAATCTATATGATACTATACAGTTACTAATAACTACATTTTATAAGCGATAAGTTAGTACAATAATCTTCTATTTGCGTTATTGTTTTAGCAAGAATATTGAACCAACTAACAATATAGGCTAACTATAGGTGCCTTGTAGATGTGGAAGTGTAGAGAATGGCATATGTTTGACGACATCGCATTCCGGAACATGTATCGCATAGCGACTAACGAGCTGCGATGTCCGCAGGTAATTACCCCTAATATTCCGAAACGGTAAGTCGGAATGCGTACGGATTCGCGGCTCCGGGAATGTCGCCCGGAATACGAAATCTGTTCGTAATGGCCGAGAAGGCGTTTGCGTAACGGGACGGACGCAATTAGAGCAATTAGAGCGATGGAACAGGTCGAAAAATATATTTTCGTGGAGTGCTGGTAATTAAGTTGGGGCACGCGAAACTCGGGAAAAAAGTACGTTCGAGGTTTTGAAAACCGCTATTTGCATATCTCGACATGCACCGCAAATTACACAGTTGTTACAACTTCATGATAAAATCCATTAAAGTAATAAGTTCGAAATGAAGCAGACAGAGAAACGTTTTGTGTGCAGTGGCGTAATCGCGATAATGCACTTCGAAACCGAATCGAATCCCAACACTCATCTCATAAAAATACAATTAAAAAAATTATATTCTAAACAACCGATTGTTGCAGCACAACACAAACAAAAATTAATTAATTAAACAACACGCTCTAACGAAAAAACTGTGTCTCTCGACAATACGCAAGTCACTGTCGGATTTATCGTCAGGCATTTTAATAAAGTTATTTTCATTCCATGAAAGAAGGACGGATTTGGAGGCGCCGTTGATACTCGAGAGGTAGGAAATTAGCGTGTTTTAGATATCGAATGAATGCGAGTTTTCAACTAAAAGTACAACTTTTCCACGAAGCTAAGGTCACGACAGCATTATTACTATACTATTGACCCGTGCTCGAAACGTATTTATACAAGCGATCATTCTTTCTTATGTAGATCACACGAAATTATAGGAATAACGACTTGTCCGCAATGTTATTTTCTTTGCATTATTACAGTCGATTGCAATCGTGGTAATGCTGTTAAATTATATAAAATCCTTACTAAACTCGAAGAGATTTTTATAAATATATAAATTGGTTCATCCCTCTTATAGAATTCATCAAAATCAAAAGTGAAAGACCGATTTTTTTGTTATATTCATAGAGTTTCTCGAACTCTTTGTTGTCCGCTTTCAATGGGAATTTCAAAGAATCGTAAATACTGCAACGATCCCTTCAATGTCAACGCAATGTTTGTCTACATCGATATGGGCATTTCGGGCTTCACATGCGCCTCTATAAAGCGACTCTGTATGTACATAGACGACATTTGATATAACTGTCACTTTGTTTGATTTGTTAATGCATTCTAGTTACAGGAAATTGACCTCAAATACGCCGACGTATCGACGAAAGAGTTCGGGATTTTTTTTTCTCCGAGAATTTCCTTCGACGAGACCCCGCGTGAAAGGTAAATTTATCGTAATCGGCTGGTTCAATTTGTACGAGAATGTTTATGATTCACGGTTATTTATTGCAGGATAAAAAGTCCGGATAGGATGTTTAATAACCCTTCTACTAATCGTTAGAGCGAAGTGTTTGTTTGTATACCTACACATGGTTTTGTACACGTAAAGGATGTTTTTAGTAATAAACGTTTACATTTGTATCTGGTCGTAATAAATTTATATAAGAAGATACAAATAAATATCTATTTTATTCATGCATTCCAGCACCAAAATTTCGTTGAATCCATCACTAAAAATTATCACTCACACACAGATGAAGACATTTCTAAGGCTATTTAATAATTTATAAAACCACACCCTTCGAATTAAAATTGATTCGTCTTTAAACCGAAGGAGTCGAGCGTTTTCTTCTTGTCTCGCATCGTCGTCGTTAAGTTGAACTATAAAATTAACATAAATGTTCCATTCTGGTACCTGGAAGCGGAATTTTAATCTGCATTAGAATTACAATCAGAACCGTGTATTGTTAAGACATATCGCGTTAATATAAGGATTAACCTTAAGGTGCAATGGCGACGCTCTTCAGATGGAACCGAATTTCAACAATATAACGTAACTTTGATAGTAAGGAAATGTATAAAATAAATAAATTAGTTTGTAATAGTTATCTTCGATTGTGATGTGTTGTCTTGATATGAGTCTATTTGTTTTTCGATGAGTATTTAATCATTTAGCCTTAAGAAGACGATGAGAATCGAATGCGAAGTGCAGAGTAGAATGGAACTCCCCCGCTGGGCGCAGACAGCGCAGAATACTGAAACTTGACACGAAAGTTTCCTTAATTATATACAAGGAGTTCGATACGTGACATAATTAGATTGCAGGAAGTATATACAAGTTACATTACCCTAATCAATGCGATCCAAGCCGATGCCAGGGAGTATACGCAATTTATAATTACTCGCCAAGTGGAAAGTTTTGGAGTTCCATTCGAAAAACGTTACCTCTACTTCTTCGTGTATATTTAAGCACATCGGCTTTTTCAATTATCTCCATACCACTCCGAGGTTCTTCTTTATGGTTGAAACCACCCTTTCGCACCCTTATAACCCATTATGTTGCATTAATTCTTTTTTCGGGTCGCTTCGAAAAGGTAATTTCGGCCCCGCATTGGATCGATGGCACTTTAAAAGACCGCCGGAGAGCTCGCGCAAGGGCGACGTCCTCATTGTGTTTAGGTGTACTAAAAACTTTTCGAACGGACCTGCAGCAATTAATTTCTTCCCCCGCATACCGCCGAAGGACGCTCTTGACCCCCATAGGGTTAAATCCTTAGTGAGGTTAGGGGTAAATGATAGGCCTGCATTTAATTACGCATCTGCCAGAAGGTCGGATCCTGCTCATTGGCAGAGCGTAACGAATAAGTAGAATCTCGAGGTTCGATGTCTGCACTGGATTTGGATTTAAATCGGTTTGTATGGAAAGAGTTGTGGGTATAATAGATAAAAGATTGTTGGTTGGGTTTTGTGTTTTTCTTTGGGGGGATGAGAGTGGGTTTTGTGCGGGGGTGGCGCCACTGTTGACCCGCTAAGGAAGGATCCAAATTGCCCGTGCTTAATGCCCGGGTTATTGTCGCAAAATTCCTCGCAGAGGACCCGAAACGAGCTCCTAAGGTCGAGCGAATGGTCGTCCTACCTCGAATGCCTCGTTGCGATCAAAGTGCCCCGGTCAAAATGTAATTATTTTTCGAGTGTTGCGAGAATTTCACTATCGATTAGAGATAATGAATGCGCTAAAGTGATGATGGTACATGGCAAAAGCGCTCGCAAATTGGGTTATAGTCTGAAAAAAATTATTTTTAGCCGTATTTATTCCGAAAGTGTTTAGACATGAAAGAAAAATTCCCACCTCAACCATCCCTTTGATTCGGATTCTTTGTTCGCTCCCGGCGCGTCTATCTCGCCGCAAATTCGACATAATTCAAGCCGTTTAAATTTCATTCACCTGGATTACAACGCAAACACTAAATTGACTTGTCAACGAGACCGTAACCACCATAAATTCTCGCATTCCTTTCAATTTTTCTTTGGTGGTTTAGAAGTGACAAGTCGGCCATTATGCCGCAGTAACACACGGAGAAACGTTTACAAAAGGAACAGAAACTTTCGCTAATGGCCTGCGTTTAAGGCGTATGCACGACGAACAGCTGTTTGCGTTTCGTATAAACGCGACTTTTTGATTAATTTAGAATTTTCAACGCGTTTTATTAATTTATTTAATGCACGAATAAAAGTGAGCAGGTAGGCAACTCTGTTCGCAGTAGGTAAAATCGTACTATTATGTTTTGTATAACATATTAATAGAGTGAACAGTTTCGAATCCTCTTCGCTCATCAACTTTGCAAGCAAGCGCGCGATATACAGTGAAAAAAAAAAGCTTTATCGTTCTTATTTCAGCGGGCGAATTCCCGAGAGTTTGTTTGCAATTCATAGCCGACGTACGTCCGGAGCGCGATGTTAATCTTCATAACAGTTTACACTTTTCTTAGCAGCGCCATAAAGCCACCTTTTTAGGGTGTGCAAATAGTCGGCGGAACTGTCACAACGCTGATAAATGCGCGCTTCGAAAAGTTTTTTTTTTCGCTCCTTTTCACCGCGAAACCGGCCGAGGTCAATTCGAAGCGTGAAGCGGCCTGTTTGCGGAAGGATTACAGAGGGAGAGCAAATCTCCGGGTTTTTTTCTAACACGTGTATGTCGAAGGAAATTGCGAGTTTTCTCAAATAGACGTATCTCATATTAAAAATCTTTTATGAAGGATTCTATAGGCTCTTTTTAATTTATGCGAATCACCAAATACCTATTAATAAGTTAGATAGGTAGAAAAAAAACGACTCCGATGTGCCGATAAGCACATGAAAAATTCCTGGGATCCTTTCGAATATTCAATAAAGCGAATTCAAAAAGCGTTTTCCCTTCGTTAACGTCATTTCCACCGTTCCCGCGTCGTCGAATTAGATCTATTGTGACAGCAGAAATGACGTAAATTAATCGATCTAATTAAATTCGGGTGTCAGTGAAGTATGGTCGGGGGCCATCAAAGGTATCTCGACGGACCATCTGACCATCGAGCAGGTCATTAAGTATTGAGGGAAATCAACCGGTGGCATTCTCTCGCTTCACAGTCAACTTGCCTTCGCGAGTTTCTCATTTCCACAGGGGATAAATATTTTCTGGATGTTTAGGAATCGCCTTGTGCAACAAGACGAAATTCTTGGGAGGACGGTAAATCATGGAATATGATATAAACAAATCTATTTTGGCGGTAGCGGCGGAAGCGTTCGAATACTTCACGTTCTCGCGCCACCTGTTTCTAATAGCTCTATTAGAAGGAATTTAAAACTGCTTCCGTAACTGCTGGTTTGATGCCGGAAAACCGACCAAACACGTGTTAATACCCGAATAAAGTCCATTAACAGGCCGATAAATGCCTACGAATTAGCGTCAATTAAACCGGACGAGGAAGTCGGACCTTACTCGGAAACCATCGACCATCCGAGATGGATGCGAAAGATTTCCATCCATCAAACGGACGTTTCCCGCTATTTCGCGTAATTCGATTCGCTCGAGCGCTCCGCCAAGGTGATAGAGCTACCATTTCGATTCGTCTAAAAGTCGCTTTTACTCCCAACAAAAAACTACACTCACTGTACCGATAAAGATGTTTAACTCGAAGTTATTTTCGCTCAGAAATCCGTCGCAGGAACGGCTTCAAGAGACTTCTATAGAAGATTGATTGAAGATTTAGAATTGTTTATACCATTAATCCAAATATCTAGGTTAGTGCAGAAGATTCTAATAGCACCACAGTGGTCCTGGAAGATTTCTTTCATAACTTACAGTACTTAGAGCTGTTAAACGTGCCTGAGCATCAGTCAACAAGCGAAGGAAGATCCCCCGATTGCGATGCAACCGGTGGGATCCTCGACATTTGCGTTTCGACATTCTTCGTCGAAGCGAACCTTTTCGAATCGCGTCATAAATCATTCATCGGAGCGTCTGGCAGGCCCTTCGAGGAGAGACAAACGTCGAGATTCGAAGGTACGAGCCGCCCGGACATTGATGGAGCGGCCCTTTGAGTGGCATTGTCACATGTCAAACCGTCTCTGCGATGGTAGAGGGTAAGGCGGTCGACCTGGAGGGGTCCGCTAATTTTTTCACGAGCCGGAGATTAGCAGGTCGTTAGGGATTCGACAGCTCCGATACATCGCCCACGTTCGGGAACATTATTTAATTATATTCGACTTTTGCTTGCACGATATTATTATTCTTTATAGAAGTAGTAGTAGAACAAAGACCGTTCAATCCAGTCCTGTATAATCTAGCGGAATAAAGCGTTCCATTTCCATAAGACCGTTCGCACTTCACATGCAAATCTCGCAGACGCGACTCCCCATCTCGACTTAGCGAAAACTTCGGTGCCGGTTCTTCGTTTTAGTTTACAGTACACGATTTTCGGCGGGGGAGTTTTCCGGGCGTATCGCCCTGTTTCGGGCCGCTCGAGCGGCTCCTCGTCGGACGCGGAAATGGAAAGTTTTAAGCTGATTGTGATGTGACATGACGCTCCAGTCGAGATTAAATCACGCGGACGGGGAAACCCCTTCGCGTTTTCCGCGCCGCAGGTGAGAGAGGAAAACCCGCCGTTGGATTAGTTTGGTTTTTGTCGTGTTGTATTATAGAGCAGCTGCTCGATGGAAATTATGGCGGTTCATCGGCGCGTGAAACTCGGTGGCCAATGATTCTACCGATGGCGTTTAAAGGAGAATTAAGAAAGCGAATCGTCCTTTCTACGAACTGCCTACTGTGCCGAGCCGCTTTTTATCCCAATTTTGACAACAAATACAGTGGTGTATCGAAATTTCTACCATTAAAATTTCACCGCTTCTCTACATTATGCGGTGTGTAGGTACTCGTTTTTAACGCAAATCAATCGTTTAAATCGAGCCTCTAAAACTGCAAAAATAAACTAAGTATATACGGGTGTAGTATATTTATATAATTTATAGAAAATTTCCGAACTATGCCACTGGCTGCCCCGATCCTCATATCACTTCCAGGCGAATTAGCAGACCCGAGATTAGGCGTTTCTGTTTATGATTGTTTAATTTAGCGATTCCGACGACAAACTTTAAACGAATACGACATGTTTACATGCATTGTCGTGTATTTAGACGACAAAAAGATGGGGACTCCTTATGCGACATTTCCAAGGGATTTACATTTATTCGGAGCCTATTGAAAAGGGGAAGCAGCGCAGGAAAGAAGAGGATCTTCGAGAATTAGATTTTCACTGCATAATGCTTGATATACATTTGAATGGGACGTTCCTTTAGAATCCCCCAGCGAGTTTTATTTGCTTATTTGGTTGTATGCGTGTGTGTATTTGTATATACCTACGTATATAGGTAAATATTTATTTTTTCTTTTAATATAAATATATATTTTTTTTAGATAGTAATAAAACAATTATGAATTATTAGAGCTTATAAATCAAGAAAGCCGCGATTACCTGAACCACTTCTGGACAATATCGAGCGACAATAGCTCAAATAATGAGAAATAATATTGACAAAACACCGCAAATCCGAAAATCAAGTTCGGAAAACATTTTTCATCCATAGAGCCGACAAGGCCCTTTTGAAGTCGGCGATTTTTATTATTGTGCGCGCCGACAATGCGGTAAGAAGCTACAAAAGGTGAGTTTTTGTTTGCCCGAAACTACTACCGCATCGACACCTAGAATAACACGTCGGTTCGACTATAGCGAAATCTTTGATTCATGATGCGGAAAGTTCAAATTGTTCGACATGTCATTCGTTATTTTTCCAGCGGTTCTCGGCCGGTTTATTCGAGCGGAAGTATGTCCAAAAAAATCTACTGTATAGGTTACCTAAAAATTCATTTATGTCCTACAATAGCGAGGGACTAGAAGAAATTATATACAAATTTGAATATGCACTGTGGTAATTTTTAGTTGAAGAATCCCAAGTGCGAATTCGATTGGCCGAAAACTCCGACTTCCATTTGCTTTGTGCAGGTGGGAAGTAATTTTACAATGGTCGAATGCATCTTTTAATTCGCGTTATTACAGCCGAATTGCGTTTGATTGAACAATGGACATTTTAACCGTCGGCGCGGCCATTTTTCATTCGCCCAAATCCCTTCCAAGGGCCTTTAATAGAGGCTTTTTATATTGAAACAAAAGATTTTTAACGCTTCATAAAGCGCACACACATTTAATTTTTTGCTCAAATAATAATTAACTGCAATTTTCGTGATTCTAAATGCTCTCGTATCAAATCTGCGGTCAATAACGAATCGAATTACAGGGGATAACAATTTTTTACTAGCATAAATGAGCTATAACAGAA